AAAAAATAAAATGCAACAAAAGACAAGGGCCTTGCTTTGTCAATCAATGATGCCAATTTGTCCGGTACTCCTTGTCTTTTCTGCATGTGAGGCAAGGATGGGGGTTGCAGTAATCAGCGGTGCAAAGGCGCGGGATTGGGGTGAGGCGCGGTGTGCAGGGAGGCAGGGGCGTGGAGTGCTGATGATGGCTCGGGCGTGCAGGGGCATCATTGCCGGCAGTGGGGCGCAGCAGGGCAAGCAGAGTGCAGGCGATCTGGTGCAGAGCGCAGGAGCTGGTGCAGAGCAAAGCTGGTGCAGGAAGCAAGGCCGGGTGCAGCAGAGTGCAGACGATCTGGGCGCAGAGCAGGGAGCAGGGGCGCAGGTGCAAGGCTTGGGCGTAGGTGCAGGGCGTGCGAGGGTGTGATGATGGCTAGTCCGGTGATAGGGGGGTAGGGCGCGGTGCAGAGGATCTGGGCTGCGCAGGGGGTAGAGGAAGCTGGAGATTGATGCAGAGGAGGGTGAAGGCTGATTCGGGAGAGAGAAAAGTAAAAGAAAAATGGAAGAAGGAGGTTCTGGAGAAAAAAGAAAGATTTAATCTTTTTTTCTTTTTTCTTTTTTCTTTTTTTTGGGTTAAATGGGTTTGGTATTTGGGCTTGGGTTTGGGTAATTGTTGGTTTTGGATTTGTTTTGGGTAATTTTTGGTTTTGGGATTTTGGGCTTGGGTAGTTGGTAGGCTTTGAGTTTTGGGTAATTGGGTTTGAGTTTGGTAGGTTTTGGATTGGGTTTGATGGGTTTTGGGCTGGACTTTGCATTTCACCCCTCCAACTTTCCATTTCTTCAATTGAGTCCTTTTTCTCTCATCTTCTTTTCCAATCTTCTCTGTAAAATTTCCTTGTTGCTCCCCCATTTTTTTTTTTTTTGAATGAACCTAACAAGTAAAACAAAGATAAAACATATTAGTAAAAATAAAATAAAATTCTACTAAAATTTGAGTTATGACACTGGGTTCGATTTCAAACCCAACACACCTACTGGGTTCAATTTCAAACCCAACACACCTGCTGGGTTCAATCGATCCAGTGACTACTGGGGTTCG